TTGAAGGATGTGAAAGTGTGGAAATGAAAAAGAAAAGCCTAGCACTGACTCAAGCTACAGAGTGAAAAGGGTAGGTAACAAATTCCCAGCAGAACTCCAGGATAAAGTGATTCCAAAAAAAAACCAAACCCAAAACACAGCTACACCATCCAATCTGATGTGGGCAGGGAAAAGCAGCACTTCTGATCCCTTAAGCACCTTAGAAACACAGTTGCCTCCATAGATATGCTTCCCTAAAGTGGTAGAACCACCAAAAATGAAACAGTTATACAGAGGTTTTCTTGTGTTAGAGAGTACATTTTCCCAGAATTATACCAATCTCATAGGCTGTCCTTCTAGTCCTGAAATGGGTGAAAAATCTATCTATGGAACTTTTGAAATAACAGTTTGTTTGCCTATATTTAACATTCTAATTTACTATCTTTATTTTATTTTAGGTTATTTTGTAATCTGCATATTGATAATGTGACCACAGGTAAGGAACCTTAGTTTATTCAGTTGCTGGGGCAAATGCCACAGTTTCCTTGTTTATTTGAAGAGATTTTCACTAGTACCTATTACTGATCACCACTGACTGAATTAGTACGATCCCCATCTGGACATAAACCCACAATTTTCTGAGACATGTTTAAACAGAACACACAGCTTTATAGTTAAATGACAGATACCTCCATAACAGGTATTGCAAAACTGTTGGAAGCCGCCCCTGTATCCACACACACACATACACTAAGAACGGAGGAATTCATTCATGACTTAAACATAAAACCTAGCAATATAGTGGTAAGACAATTTCACTATCAGAGATACTTTGCAGGGAAGAATTTTTAAAAGCCAACAAACACATAAATCAAAGACATCAGAAAAGAGGGACAAAATGAGAATATCGTGTTAATATACTTGTAAAGAAAATGTGAACGTGATACCACACACAAGAAAGTATCAAACATTAATCTACCAAGAGACTGAGAACTTCAGTGATAAGGTAGCCCTTCTGTAATCATGAACAGCTCTGCTGTAATCGTCTATCCTTGGTCTGGATACAGATAAGACTAGCAAACTTCTAGCACAACATTCTACTTGATTGAATTACGCATTTCCAGCAACATTATTTTGATCCCTCAGTTTTGGGGGATTATACCCTGTATGCTACAGAAAAAAAAGCAGATCAGATGTTCACAAAATTTAACTTGTAAACAAAATTATTTGAATCCATAGAAATACTTTGACTTTTGGGCTTTAATTGGCTAAAACCAGAACATTTAGTATTATAGAGTCACCTTCACTTCAACCTTTGCAATGCTTTTCAGGAAAAACATTTGAGGAGGAGGGCCCTGTCCGAATAACAGCTAATGAAGAATATCAGTTACCATAAAGGAGTTGTTCCACTGTGGCTCAGCAAAGCAAAAATTCTCACACTCTTTTTTACCCAGCCAAAAATGAGAAAAATGTGAAAAAAACCAATAGGAAAATATTGTGAGCCAAAATGATACAGACATCAGAAGTTTACCTGGGGAAAGTGGGTTTGACTTTCAGATTCAAACCTATTTTCCCAAAACACAATCAAAGCCAAGAGTGAAATCACTACTAGAAGCTGTTTTTCTGCTTCCCTCTAAATGAAGAACTGAACTGAATGGAATGGAATTGAATACAAGCTTTTTGGAAGAAATTTGAACTCAAAATGGAAATTTGTCATTTAACATGCTGCCACTTGAATGCCACACTGTTAGACTGGATCCTGTGTTATGAAAGAAATGAGATTATTCCTAAGTTTCCTTTGCCTCAGGGGAAAAAAAAAAGTTGAAACAAGCCTGCAGAGCTCCTGGTCTCACCACTGATTCAAATCCCAGGACTTCCACTGATTTTGCCAAAAGCAGGATTTTACGCTACACCTGTAAAGGAAGATCTTCTGCAAGATCTGTGATGTGATGTTACAGTGACAACAGTGTGGAAAAACCTCATCATGGGTCAGATCTGCAATGGCAGTTTATGACATCTCTGTTTCCTTCCGACCTCAGTTTCTACTGCTGATAGCTGTTAGAGTTATCAGGGAATCCTTCCTCTGCAGCAATCCTCTCCTGCAGCCCTCTGAACTGCATTCACACTTACACCGTCTGATTCTAACGGCATACCAGTGCCCATGAGAAAAGGTTGCGGGGTCTCTGTCTAGTACTTCTCACTTTTAAGTGCATGACAAAGCACATAAAAAGAAAGTATGGTTTCCAATAATAATCAATTTAAAAACAAGCATGAAAGGCAAGAAGAACAAGCAAAGATGGTTTTCAAAAGTTCTCCCTATTTGTATAGTTCTGTTCTCTTGGAATATATTGGGAAATTTCTCCATCAGCTCATAGACAGCAGAGGTAAGTCAGCATTGAAATAAAAATAGAATATATCATCTTTACACGGTGATATTTTTTTTTTTTTGTAATTCTTTAATATTCAACAACTAAAATTTAATAGCAAGGTAGTTTTCACGGTAATTAGTTAAAGTGCAAGGAAACAGAACGGGGACAGGCAGGTTGCTCTTTCTAGATCCACAGAAAGCAGCTTGAACAGAAGCTTTTCAAAGATGAGCTTTTGCAGCTAGTATATGTTGAAGGATCTTTTCAGGCACAGACTATACCCGGTGATTCTTTTCCTTGCTTTAAATCACAAAAGGAAACAACGAGCAAACAATGGCTTTAAAAAGTGAAACAAAAGATAATTCAACTTTATATACAGAGTCTGCCTTCCTCTCCCCCTCTCTCTGTGTATGTATGTGGATATACACAAAGACTTTTAAAACAACACTTAACGATAATTACCCAAACTTGTTACCTAAAATGAGAAAAATCCTTTTGTTACTTTAACATCAGGTATCTGAAAACTTGGTTCCTAAAAATTATCCTCTTTCTCCTAATTTTTCACTACCTAGCTCGGAGGTAGATGCAGTTGTCAGTGCAAATTTTGTAATAAGTATTACACACTGGCTTTGATACTGATTCCACAAAATAAGGTTTACAGCAGCTCGGCAAGCTATAACATGCTACAAAATGCATGTTGTTGCTCAAATATACTCTGTTTAGGCAGTCATTAACATATTATCTGTCACTATCATATTAACCCAAGTATTATTAATCTATCTTTCAAAGAGGACAGGAGTATTGACTGTAACCCACTGCAAGCCTTAAGCACATGTTAAAGGAGAAGTTAAAGACGGAAAGCAGGGCTTAAATACACAAAGCTGTGGCACCTCACTTGCATTTCAGCACTCTGTACTGACCTCTACTGGTTTATCCACTGCAGCTTTCATAAATATGAAACAGTTTACTTTTATTGAACTTTTGTCGTGTCTTGTTCGAATTCAGGGAAAAAGTAAACTGTATCCCACCCTGACAACTTCACCCTGATGGAAGGTCAAAAAGTGATCAAGCTTCCGACTACTGGTGGCAGTTTACCTGTAGTGGGTGAGACATTGTGAAAAATCATCTGATAAAAAAACCCTAATAGTACATATGCAGCTGCAGAAATATATCAAAATCAAAAAACTCCATCTTAACACTTTGGGTGTATTTTTTATGACTGAATAATTTATCACATTAGTTTTATTCAGCTGCTGTCTCATGTCTGCATCATTAGGTGTTTGGTATATAAAATCTGGTTTTGTACTGTACAATACCCAGCATCTGACCCATGATGAGAACCAGAAGTATTCCTTCAACACAAATACCAAAGTTGTGAAAATCAATTCATCATCTTCAATCACCTCCTTTTGACAGACTTCTGCTTCAGAGAACATACAAGTCTGTACAAGCTTCTTCAGAAGAAATATTTGCTCTAATTAGGACAGAGCTGGCAGCTTATCTACCACATGCCAGTGCATCAAAGTACAGTAGCAAGTTTGCCATTGTAAAAGTATTACTGTAAATGCTTTGTCAAACTAGAGTCATTACCCTTCTAACTGGGAGCAGTGATGCACTCATCGCACCTTTAATACCACTAAATGAAGTTTAACCCATCCACTTCCTACCTGATCACAAGAAAAAAAAAAAATCTTTAGTCTTTATGTGCCTTACAGTAAAGAGCAACTCCAGTGAGTCATAAGTGAGCAAACTTTTCCGTCCTTATTTACCAATGACACTTTCACTGTCAGCAGCACTCAAAACTTTCCAATTTTAAAGGGCTATTTTTAGAATTCTTTGTTATGCAAGTCTTTAAGAACTAATAACAGTTTTAACATATCATGAGAATTTCCTTTCCTCTCACTGCACTCTCAATGACTCCAAACAATTTTTTTTTTTTTTTTGGTAAGTCACCTGTAGTGGCTGGAAAATAACAAGCGTTGACCATGAAAACAATGAAGCTTTGTTTTCTGTCGGTGTACATAGCAAAGCAGACCACAAATTGTTAACTGAATTTCAGAACAGCAAGATGCCTGTTATTCACGAAGCTATTTTGTGTAATCATGTCTTTTTCTTTCATTTTTCATAAAAACCTCTGTAGATCGTGAATATAAACAAATCAGATAAATCATCAGGAATCTATAATATTTTCATACGGTAGAAATAAATATCTGAATTACATCAGTGTGGGGGTTTTGGGGGGTTTTTTTTTTTTGGGTTTTTTGTGGTTTGGTTTTTTTTTGTTTTTTTTTGTTTTTTTTTTTTTCCAAATCATCCCCGCCTCACTTTTTGAGCACTCGGATTTCTCTCCCTTCTCTCACCGCCGCGGAACCTCGCATCACTACCCCCTAATGCGGGGCTTTCCCCCGGCCGCA